GGCCACCGGCCGGGGAGGGACAGCGGTAATGACAGGCCTGAATGTGCACCGAGCTGTGCCCCGCTCGCCGCGCTCTCCCCTCGCCTCGCTCGCCTCGCTTGTCAAAACACTAAAATTTTGCGACCCCTCCCCCTGTGGAACCTGGCGAAAATAGCACGCAGCGCGAAGCGCAAAGCTACCTTGGCCACGCGGGGCGCAGGAACGCTGCGTCGTCGCTCTGTCTCTCTCGCACCCCTCCGACACGCCCCTTGAGCGTACGAGAGATGGAAGGAGAGGCAGTGCGCGCGGAAAGGTCGCCGCCCCGCTGAATGGAAGTGCCGCGCCGGTTTCCGCTCATTGCAGGTACACGCGAAGCGCGAGGAACACGTGGAACCAACGACAACAACAAGGAGAAGGAAAGGCGTGCGGGGAAAAGTCAACAACATTCGGGAGGGCGTAATGGTGCAGTCACGGCGGTGTCGCCGTCGTGGTCGTTGCCGCACCCCGTGGCGCACCGTGGCACACTGTAAACCCCGCCGCCCACGGCGACGTCGCCGCACTTCCCGGCCAGAACGTGACGCCGATGGCGGTCGCCGTGCTTGTCGTTGTCGCGGACGTCGCGGCTAGGCGTCACCTGCACCGTGCTACCGCCCCGCGGTCTGCCGGCGGGCCTGGCCGTCCTGGCGGGGCGCCGTCGAGGGGTGTATATCGTTTGTACGACCTCTTTTTGTACGACCTGCCCGATTCTGACCCGACCTCGGCGGACGAAAATTTTTTGTACGACCTCGTTTTGTCCGACCTCATTTTTTGTCCGACCTCCGTTTTGTCCGGCCTGTGTACACCGAGGCCGTGTCCACACACCCGAGTGCACCGTGTACACCCGTGTGCACCGACACCGTGTAAACGCGTGTGCACCGGCGCCGTGTACATCCGTGCGCACAGCAACAGTCTAAGGTCCTGCCGGGCCGGGGGAGGCGATTGCTATGCCAGGCCTAGGCTTTTCAAGCAGACTGCTGCCACGCGGCGGGTTGCCTACCTTACGGGCGCACAGCAAAGGTCTTAGGTGCTGGCGGGCCGGGGGAGGCGATTGCTATGCCAGGCCTAGGCTAGGCAAGCAGACTGCTGCCACGCGGCGGGTTGCCTACCTTCCGGGCACACAGCAAAGGTCTTAGGTGCTGGCGGGCCGGGGGAGGCGATTGCTATGCCTGGCCTAGGCCTACCCTTGCTGTGCGCCCGTAAGGTAGGCAACCCGCCGCGTGGCAGCAGTCTGCTTGAAAAGCCTAGGCCTGGCATAGCAATCGCCTCCCCCGGCCCAGCAGGACCTTAGACTGTTGCTGTGCGCACGCGCACGGATGTACACGGCGCCGGTGCACACGCGTTTACACGTTGTCGGTGCACACGGGTGTACACGGTGCACTCGGGTGTGTGGACACGGCCTCGGTGTACACAGGTCGGACAAAACGGAGGTCGGACAAAAAATGAGGTCGGACAAAACGAGGTCGTACAAAAAATTTTCGTCCGCCGAGGTCGGGACAGAATTGGGCAGGTCGTACAAAAAGAGGTCGTACAAACGATGTACTTCGCCGTCGGGCGTGCATCGCGCTTGTTTGTTTGTTTTTAGAATATATTCCCGCGGCGATGGGCGCGCGAACGACCCCCTGGATTTACGGCGGGCCGGCGTCGAGGCCGCCGTCAGGCGCGTCACCTCGCCGTCGACGGAGGGACTCGGCCGCCACGTTATGCCGCCGCACGACTGCCCTTGATCGGGCAGATCGGGGAGACCGAAACGCGCGCAGGCATCGATTTCAAGCCGGCTTGGCTCCGCTGCCTTGTCTTGCCTTCCCTCGCTGCACCGCTTCACGGGAGAGTGCACCATTTCCCATGTTTCTCTCTGCGTTACACGTTACACGCGCATGCCCACCCGGACATGCCGGCCGACAAGTGGGCTGTGGACACTGCGGCCGAGTTTTTCCACCACACGCGTGCTCGCGCCGCCGGTTATCTCGCCCCGGGTTTCTTGTATCGACTAGTTTCGGGAGAGATAAACGAGAGCATCTCGGGGCGTTCGAACGCGCAGCGCGCCTAGGTCGTCGAATGCAGCCCCGCCACGCCCACCCGCCACGCCCTTGACCTCCTTGACCCGCGGGTCGAGCCAGGCCGACGACCAGAGTAAAGTCCGCGCGCCACGCACTTCGGGCAGCCTCCGCTCCGCGACCCCCACGATAAGCAGGAGCGCGTACCCTACACCGTCCGCACGGAAAAAAATAATTAGCTGCACAGGTAAAAGTTAGCTGTACAGCTAAAAACATTCGCTTCCTGAGAGATAAGTAATTCCTTCGCTGTACAGCTAAATTTATTAGCTGGACCGAATTAGCTGTGCAGCTAAGGCATGTTAGCACTAGAGATTCACAAAATTTATCTGCTCGGGTCAACTGACCCGATCAACCGACATCTAAGCCTTATGACTAATGTTGTTATTGTTCGATGGATATCTGCCGGACTCGAACCCGAGTCTGCCGATTGAGAGGCGCGCACGTTACCTCTACGCCATCACGCCATCTCCTCGACGTCGGGTCTTCTACCTTGAGACTATCCTCGCCGCTTAGCCACCTCGGTAGCTAACGAAATTTAGCAGGATGGCTAAGTCTACTCGGCTAAACTGCAAACTGCTTTGCTAAAATGCTTTGCAGAGCAGCTAAATAAAATTAGCGGGACCGCTAAATATTAGCTGCAACGATAAAACTTTTAGCGGTGCAGCTAAATCTGTCTAGCTAGTGAATATTAGCTAGGTTAGCTAAGTAATTTTTTTCCGTGCGGAGAAGAGCGACAAAGTGGCTCGGAAAACGCGTGGCGCGTGGTGTTATCTCAATGAGAAGCCAGAGCCCCATCCATTTTCGACGTCTTTGAAACGACATTAAAAGCTCTGGTCGTGTTGTAACTCTGGCCGCACGGTTGCGGCTTCCCCGAAGATGACTGGCACTTCCCCGCGATGCTGCTCCACTTACCCCGCCGAGCCGAGGCGCGCCGAGGCAGCGATTTGATCTATTTCTGCTAAATCTGAAACTCAAGCTCGGCTGGATCGGATTGCCTTGCGGGAAGGAAGCAATCCGCGGCGTCGTCGCGGCCGCGGGAACCGAACCCCGGCCTGCCTTCGCCGTGGTGCCCTTGGTGGCCAGTATCGGGCTGCAGCCGCGGCGGCAGCGGCGCCAGTCATGCCGCCTTTTTTTGCGCCCGCCACTCGCCGGCCGGAGTCTCCGGCGGACTCTTCTATGACCACTGCGAGTTACGCGGAGGGAGGGGAGGGGGGCGTCATCGTGGGCCTCGCGGGCCGCATTACCGATTGGCCATGCGCGCGGCGGCGCGTGAAGCCCCTCGCCCCGAGGCCCCCGTCGACGGACACCCTCCTCGTCCTCGAGCCGCTGCTTGCTGGGCTGGACGCTGCCGGTCGTAAGGAGCGCGCGGTTTTTACGTTGAAAAATGACGTCTGTTTTGTGTTTTGGACGCGGCGAGCGCATTTTTTGGGGGGGATTTGTGTGTTCTCCCCGGGACGACGCCGCCGGGCGTTAAAGGCCTTTGCAGTGCAGCGCCGCGCGTCCTACCTATCTAATCGAAGGCGACGAGCGCTGTGACGGATAAGGACGCCTTCGGGACGCCTTCGGGACGCCTTCGGGACGCCTTCGGGACGCCTTCGGGACGCCTTCGGGACGCCTTCGGGATGCCTTCGGGATGCCGGCTTTGTGGCGCTGGGCCGCGTAGTACAGGTGCGCTGTGCACTGCTATTGTGGCGCCCACTGCAACGCGGCCACTGCAGCGGCCGCGCGGTGGGAAGCCAGGAAAAGTGAATTGCCCGGTGTCGTGACGGGACGGCCTGTCGGACGATAAAAAGTAGCCAGGCATCGCTTCCGTCTTCCGTCCGAAATGGCTGTCCGATTCACTCGGTTCCCATCACGTGTGGCGCCCCACGAGGTCCCACGGGCGGGACGGACTCTCTTTGCGCTGCCGGTTTGCGGCATTGGCGGCCACCCCCTCACTCTGTCTCCCTCGCACCCCGACGGGAAGGCCAGTGAGTGCGAGAGAGACAGCCGTTTGTTTGCCCGGCGGCGCCTGGACGCTGGCGGCCTGGACAAGGAGCGCGTAGTCCGTCTAGTCCGGCGGGGCTGCCGGGCCGTCAAGGGAACGCCTTCTATGGACGTGTCACTGTGTCGCTGGAGCTGGATTCCGAACAGTGTGCTGCGCCGCTGTCTCTCTCGCATCCCGACGGGACGCGCTCGGCGTGCGAGAGAGACAGAGCGACGAATCCGAGGACAAAACCCCAGTTCGGAATCAGCCTGTGCTGGTTACCCGTGGTTACCGCAGCAGGTGACTCGGCGGATCCAGCAGAGCGGTTCCACGATTCCCCACAGTGGCGTCGTCGCTCTGTCTCTCTCGCTCTCGCGAGTCTCGCGAGTCGCGGCATGCTCTGCTGGATGCAACGCCAGGGGGAGGCGGCCGGACAGGACGGCGACGGCGACTGAGATGCGCGGTCCATGCAATCCGCCGCCGCGGAATTCGAATGAAACCAAAATTCGAGCGGTCCTGACCACAATGTGACTGGTTCCGGTTTCACCGGAGGCAAGCACATTTCCATACATTTTCGCCTGGCAGCAGGAGGCCGTCGATAGAGACAGAATCCCGCGCGGCGTCTCGTCTCTCCATTCCCCGCTCGCTGGCGCTGCAGTGCTCGCCGCCACGCCACGCCACGCCGCCCCTATAAGGCCGGCCCTGGTAAGCCCGGCGTAGCGACGTACCGATCAAACCGCATGAAACGTCTGACAATGCGGCGCGCCGTTTACTGCCTCTCGTCTGCACCTTGCGCCTTGCGGTACCGGGTACCGGGTACTCCCATCGCGCTATGCTCCATCGCGGCGCGTCGCCCCGATGCCGTTCGGTTCGGCACTGTTGCTCCGAATAGGTCTGCCCCGCCCCGCCCCGCCCTGCGTGCCTTTGTTGCCTCCTCTCTAACGCGCTGCTGTCTGTTCCAGGGATGGCGCCCTCTCCATTGTTGGCCTGCCTGTCATGCCTCGCCGTGCTGGTGCTGGCGGCCCTCGCCGAGGCCGTGGCCGTGGCCGTGCCCCGCCCGGACGTCCGCGCCGTGGCCGAGGCCGAGGCGGGCAGGGTGCGGCGCGCGCCCCGAGCCCGGGATGAGCTGATGGCCGCCATGAACCCCGAGTCCTTCCAGCTGGGCGCGCCCTCCAAGGTGGCCCACTGCAAGTACGCCCCCGTGTACGGCTACCTCTCGGCGGACTGCTCCGACAGGAAGCTGACGGGCATCCCGCGTCTGCGACAGGGCGTCGAGGTGAGTACAGTGTGCGAGCCAGAGCTCTGGGAAGGAGCCTTCCCGAGTTCCACACTCGGTGGCCCCTGCCGCCGCGGCGGAGGCCGCCGGGCGGGTGGCAGTGCCCGTTGGGTTGCCTACCCCGCCGGTTGCAGGCGCTCGCAGAGCTTAAGGCCGTGTTCTTTGACGCAGGCGCTGGACATGTCGGAGAACAAAATGCTGATCGTGCTCAACAACACGTTCAGCACCATCCCCAACCTGCGGTACCTGTACCTGAACGAGAACCGCATCAAGTCGGTGGAGGCCGGCGCCCTGGTGATGCTGCAGTACCTGGAGGTGCTGGACCTGTCCGGCAACCGCCTCACGTCCGTGCCCACGGGGCTCATGGCGCTGCCCAGGCTGCGCAAGCTGTACTTCGCGGACAACCTGCTGCAGAACCTGGACCCCACCTTCATCTTGTAAGTCGTCGGGCTGGCCGTGTGGGTAGCGGGGAAGAGGGAGCCAAGCTACAGGGAGGGCTCTCCAGAAAAAGTCATTGGACGCAAGAAAAAAAGTTCAAGTCAGAGCCAAAACAAAACAAACAAAATTACAATTAAAAGAAATGATTGTATGCGTTCAACATCTGTAAAAATAATTTTAAAAAATATTCAAAAATTGACATGTTTAGTATTTGGCGATGTGTTGGTGTTGGCGACTACCTGTAATGCCCCTTTTCCCCAGCGCCAGCCCCACGCTGCAGCTGCTGCAGCTGGCCGAGTGCAGCCTGCCGGACCTGCCGCTGGGGCCGATGCCGGAGCTGCTGCACCTCAACGTGTCCGGCAACGCGCTCAGCACGCTGCCGCTGCACGAGCTGTCGCGCATGTGCCGCCTGCAGGTGCTGGACGTGGGCAACATGCCGTCGCTGTTCGAGGCCCTCGACATGGAGGAGGCCTGCCAGTGCCCCACGTTCGTGCGCTGGAGCAAGCTGCGCGAGCTGGACCTCGGCCGCGGCAGCAAGGTGGCCTGCAAGAATGAGACCAACAGCGCGGGTAAGGACCACGGCTCGAGCGCTTAAATTTGGCCGATTTTTAGCCGCCACTGGTGGGCTGGTCCTTGTCTAGCACGTCTCTAACCGCGTCCTGACCCTCTGCTTGCAGACGACCCCTACCTGCCGACCTGCAACGCGACGCAGGTGACGCGCTCGGCCCTGGAGATGCACGGCCGCTGCGTCATCGCGCAGCAAGAGGAGCTCCGGGCGCAGGTGCGCAGCTGGTGGGTGATCGCCATGGCCGTGGCGGCCGCCACCGTGGTGCTCATGGCGGGCGGCCTCTGCTACTGCCAGCACCGCAAGCCCGAGCCGCGCCACCAGAAGGTGCCCCTGGTGGTGATGACGGAGGCCAACGGGCACGGCAACGGCACCGCCAACGCCCGCAGCCGCGGCGGCGGGGGGGTCACCGCGCCGGACAAGTAGCAAAACGCCAAGGCTGCCGCGGCGGGGGCGGGCGCCGCGATGGCCATCTCGGACTTCCTGATGGCGGCCGACATCCTGCACAACATCGCGGTGCTGCGCGGCCAGATCGCGGCGCAGGCGGCCGAAGACCCCTCCCTGCTGCGCATCGCGGCGCGCCGCGGCGTGGACCTGAGCGCCCTGGGCGAGGCGGGCAGCGCGGCGGCGGCCGAGTGGCAGCCCCGGGGCTCCTCCAGCGAGGCCAGCGACGACGACAGCGTGGCGCGCCGCGCCAGGGCGCTGCGGGACGACTTCGCCAACCGGCGGCGCCGCGACACCCTCGGCGGCTACCCGCACCCCCGCACGCTGCCGCCGCCGCCGCCGCAGCACAGCCCCCTGACGCGCTCGCGCCTGTCCATGGTGTCGACGCGGCCGGGGCCGCCGCGGCAGAGCATCATCAGCAGCCTCGAGGCCATGAACCAGGCCAGCAGCCAGGCGGCCCGGGAGCAGCACGAGCGCGCGCGCGCCGCCAGGAACCGAGTGCGCTTCCCCCACCTGGAGTACGAGCTCGTGGAGCAGGACGAGCTGGACGAGGGCGAGGTGTCGGACGACGCCTCCTCCAGCATGCTGTCGCAGATACTCTCAATCAGATGAGAACGGAGTCTGCGACTCGAGTGGTCGCAGCCCTACACGCTGAATGAATGAGTGATCTAGTGGCGCGGTGCGAGTGCGCTGTGGAGTGAAGGACCACCAAGCTGTTCTTCCTGGACATGAAAAGGAAAGAAACAGCGAAAATGCAGCTACTCTTGAGACGCGTCGGACGAATCAGTCCGATCAGCCATCGCGACGTGTTCAGCATACCCTGTGTGTCCTCATTCTTCCCCTATCTTTGTTTCTTGTTTCTTGTACAAATGTCGATTTTATAGTATATTTTCGTTATTTATTTCAGTAATGATGCCGTTTGACATTGTAGGTGTTTCTTAATATATTTATTGTTTTATCATTGATCTTATTTTTGTTTAATTTTTGTCAGTATTTGTTAGGAATAAATACTACAGAGTATCCATCCCTTTTGAATTTTTTTTTCTTTGGACAGCTATAGTTATTGTTTTTTGCTCAATTTTTAACACACTTATTTTGTATCAAAAGTAACTAATACAAATTGTCCTGAATTTTCTTCTGAATGAGAAGTTGTTATGGTTCAAATCAAATGTAGATTAAGTTTTCTTACCGTAATATTTATTTCAGGAAGGACTAAACTTTTATGTACATTCTAAGTATGTAATATTGTGTGACTCTTCTGCAATAATGTGTGAATGTGAAAACCAGCGTCTAGATCAGCATGAGAAGTTTTGTATCCTGAGAATACAAGTTCATTGCTTTTTTTGTACATATCTTGCCCTTATGGTAGAACTGAGCACATTTGATTTTGTTTCCTTTCTTTTCATAGAATTTTTACAAACGTACTTACCCTTCTATTTTTATACTGTGGAGCAGAAATATACTATTTACTGAAGAGAAAATAATTGCCATGTTAAACTTTCGGTTCAATTTTGACCACGTTGTTCTTATGGTGTGTTATGAGGTCTAGACTTCCCTATGCAAAAGCTATAAAAGTACTGAATTGTTGTTTTGTTGAGATATTTCCTGTTGGTGTTGATACCTGAATAATTTAGTCTCTATCCTTATTCTCTTAGTTGAACCTAAATGTGAAACATCTCTTTGATGAAGTTGTGTTAAATGTAAACATACTGAAGCATTGTTGCATTCATGCATTAACAGCACCACCCAAAGAGAATAGTTTGATCAAGTTTCTCCTCGGAGTAATCTATGATCTCCTAGGATAATTTTGTAATTTTGTAAAGCTTCCTCAGACGCATGTTAAGTGATATAGACCTCTGAGCTGATATTATGATAATCTAGTGATGAACTAAAATGTGTGTGCTTGTCTTAGCAGACAAACTTGGACAGTCTGATTCAGCTTCCCTCAATATACTGTTGTCACTGCCATTCTCCTCCATAAAACTGTTTCAACACTAAGCTCAGTACCAATCTAGGTGTCAACAGTTTTATTGGATCTGCATATTGTCTCACTTATAAAGGGATTCTCCATAATCATTTTCATTCCATCTACTTAATTTAGTGTAAGGTTTAAGTTAAAATTATAGGAATTTCATGAAGACCAACTTCTTTCTTCTTCAAACCTTACAATTGCTGTCTTATTTTATTTTTGGTTGAAATTTCTATATTGTTTTCTGTTTAACCTCTCTTATATTTTTCTTTCTTAAAGTAATTTGTATTCCATGCAGTTGCAATTGTGATAAAGTGAAGTACTTTGTTAATACCAAAACACATTACATTAAGTAGTCTCCCTTTGATTGTCATTCCACCCCACCTTGAGTGAACGTGATTTAATCTAGTCTGGAATGAAGCTTAGTTTTTATGAATGTTAGGTATTGACCTGTGTACTTAAAGATACCCTTTCTTTTAATTCGTGCCATCTTGCATTTATTAGTGCCCAAAAGGAATTTTGTTTGCACTCTGTGCTTTGCTGTGAGAACCTTCTTTGAATAAACCATTTTGTGAAAGGGCATTTATTCTCTACTTTTCTTACCACTCCTACTCGAACCCACTCTAAGCCTTCGTGATACAAGATTCCAAAAAATAAATAGAACGGCCAATGTTTACAAAGCTTAACGGAATGGCGTTTGTAGGCCTATGGGGTAAAACAGGACTCTGCACGGGAAGTCACTGGACTCAGGCGCCGCTCTGTAAAGCACGCTTCCACAGGGAAGTACATTTGAAGTGTGCTGAATCGCCGGTTGACTAGGCAACCCCTCCTGCACGGACCGCGTCGAGCGCCTGGTGGGCAGGCAGCCCATCTGACGCGGCCCGCACTGATCATCACGGAAACATGATTGGTGCGTCCGGACGGAAAGCAGTGTTCGGAGGCAGCCTGCAGGCTGGGCTGGGCTTCGCCTGGTCCTCCTGCTTTGCCATTCGCCGCGCTGTTTGAGCCTCGTTGCAGATGCGCCGTTCGCCGATCGAAACCGGCGGTCCGCGCCGGGTCCTCCCGTGGGCCTCCAAGTCGAAGAAAGCAGACGACGGGAAATCCCGGCCGTCATGAAGGGCGTGGCCGAGTCATTTATCTGGGGCCGAGCCCATGCCCCTCTGCTGCCCCTGCCCCCTCCCTGGAAATCCCCCGCGCCGCGATGCTCCCTGCCCCGACTCCCTGACCTATCCTTATCTCACCATGAGGCTACAGCTGCAGCCAGTCTCCGACGAGGCCTTGGCCAGCCTTGGCCCTCGCAGTGCATCAACGGGGTGCAGCTGCATGCTTCTCGCTTCTCACGGCCCGCAGCGCCGCAGCCGAGCCTCGCGAGGTGCAGCCCGTGTCATTCACTTCACCCGCGACTCCGGACTCCGTCACTACACTGGGAATGACACGCCTGGCTCAACTTGGCTCAGCTCGCCGCGGTGCGGCCTGGCCTGGCCTGCGCGCACTCTCACGAAAACATGTTAATTGGGCGGATGTAATTTTGGGACGAAAATCAGAAGGTCTGGCGTTTTTTTTTTTTGCGCATTCTGATTATGGAAACATCGGCTGGCGAAGGTGATTCTCATCGGCCGAACCGCGGAACTGAACCGCGGACCGCGAGCCGGCGGGCTGCACCTGCACTTTCCCCGTGTGCTGCGTCCCGGCCGTCCCGGGGACACTCCACTGCAAGGTACGGTTGCATTGGGACGGTCAGGTCTGGGTTCTGTGCACACGATTCGACCACACGGCTGAGCGGGCGACTTTCATCCGAAACGAACAAACCAAGCGGCTCCGAGACCGTGCCTGCCTAGCACTGGTGGCGTCCGGCTGGCTCGGAAGCAGCCGCTCGCTCGGTCGCCGACTGACACTCGTGACGACAACACCGGTCCGACGGGCTGCCCTCTGTCGGCATAAATCAGCCAAGACGTCGGGTTGACAGCCAGCCCAGAGCCGTCGGCCTGTCTCTCTCGCCTCATCGGGGCGGCCCGGATGGTGCCGGAACTGTCAGCGGCCTCGGCTCGGTCGCAAAATCGGCTACGGACCGCCTCCGATGCTTGAACACTGCGCATGGCACGGGCACGCGTATAGCTCAGTGTACTAGGTCGTGCAGCCGCCAGCAGCCACAGCGGCGAGCGGGGGCGCACTTTCCACCGTAGTCGCAAGATTTTACAATGCGCTCCAGGACCGTCGCTCGTCTCGCTCGCCTCGTGGGCGCCCGTCTGTGCGAGAAGAGACGGAGCGAGCAAGGCCGCGTTCGGTCAGCCGATCAAACACGGCAGCGCCACGTGGCGAAGGCCTGCCGAGTCGCGCTCTTGCCTGCCTTCCCCGCTGGCCACGGACCGCGCGCATTCTACGCACGTTCCCAGTCGTCCACGCCCGCGAGGGACAGCAGCCACCAGAAGGCCGGTCGGGGCGCTGCTGCATCTCGAGCTGCCACGGGGCGGCCACGCGCAAGTCGTTGGAACTTTCTGTGTCAGTTGGCTCTCGGCTCTGGCGGTCGCGGCGTCGGCATCTCCTCCAGCTGTAACCAGCTCCCTCGCCGCCTCCTGCAGTAATGACACGAAGCGGATGTTCGCCGCCAACCTCTGCGCATTAGCTCACGTTTCCCCTCGTGCACAACACTCGCGAAGGCCAATGCAGCCAAGCGGCGAAGCGGCGAAGCCGTAGTCGCAGTCTTTACTGCGGCCCCGGACCGCGCCGCCACGCCGCCACGCCGCCACGCCACTGGCAGAAGAAGAAGAAGAAGAAGAGGAAGAAGGCCGCGGTGGCGGGGCAGAGGGACAGAGACACGGCAGATACGCCACTGTTGCCGCGGGCCTCGCCGGCAATCGTTAAACTCTTCTGCGCTTCTTGGCCTGCCATTCCGCGGCGCTTGGGCCAAAGGACGCGGCGCGGCATTGCTACGCCACTCGTTTCTCAGTCTCGCACCCCCGCGAGGGAAACAGAGCGACGAAAGCGGTGTTCGGAAGGCCTGCTGCTGCATCTCGAGCGGTTGCCAGAGGGAACCACGTGACAACAAACACTCAAGTCGTGGAACTTTTGTGTCAAGTTGGCCCGGCTCCCTGGCGGTCAGCAGCGTCGCATCTCTCCAGCTGTGACCGCTCCGCGCTCC